CCACGTTAAACAAGTTTCAAACAAATTGCGACCCTGGGCTCTACTCGAGTACATCATACTTAAAAGATACCATACCCCTCCATTGTCTTCCCTGAGGCCGTCCTAGAGGTAGCTACGTCCTCTTAATGCCCCAAAGGCTCATCAAACATCACACAAAGTCACTTGAAATTAAATAAAACGCCCATAGCAGTTTACTATGCTACAGATTATTTATAAAACCAGGGATTACTAATATTATAGTAACAGAATCATATATTTGATGTTTTTATGTAACCGAATACATCACTTCCACTTCTTGAATTTGCCTCCATGCTTTCCACCCTTGTGCTTGCCAAATTTTCCATGCTTTCCACCCTTGAACTTTCCCTGCTTAAACTTTCCATGGCCATGGCCATGGCCTTGACCATGACTAACATGCGCACCATGACTAACATGCGCACCATGAGCAGAGTGACCTGCAGCACCATGTGCCAAATGAGAAGCACCATAAGCAGCAGCGGCTGCTGCAGCACCTCCAGCCAACATTGCTCCTACACCAGATCCATGCCCTGAAATTCGTATGTACAAGACTAAGAGATACAGCCATATCCACGAAAGATAACTGATGTATTAACACATCTGCCATGATATGGAGGACATATCCGACAATCTAAAACTTGGTTACGCATATTCCAAAAACCTTTCACAACTTTTGAGTGTTTGTTTGGACACTGGCAAAGGTATCCACTATTCATCGTCTAAGAGCCAGTACCATTTAGGCCTTGGAATAAAGGAAGGATACGTGAGAGTTACACGTATCAAACAAGCAAGTAAATTTGTCCCACATGCGTAGAGAAACTTACACACACGCACATACACAAAAAGACAACTGCATATTGATGACCAAAAATGAAACAAAACTAAATTGAGATTAGGTATTACATTATCTACCCTTCTCCATGTCAAAATTTTGAATGACATAATGGACCAGTCAAAAAAAAGCTAATGCATATGATCAGAAGTTAAAAAGAAGCAACCAAATTAAAATAACTCAAACACGAGTTTCTGATAACCCAACCATATGCTATCAAACCAAAAAGAGGAAACAGACGGTGCCAACAGATCGACAACAAATTATTAGAAACAGTCAGCCTGATCATTTATCATGTCAAATATGAATGGCGCATTTGATAGGAAGGATTGATTGCACTAGACAGCATTAATTAAGGAAAAAAGAAGTTAACATATTGTTTATTAATGTCGAAAATTGCTGCATATCAAACATCTCAAGTTACCCGTCTTAGTTGCTCCCAAATACTGGCATAACACCAAAACGAGAAAATTAAAATTCAGCAACAGCACCTGAGTGATGTGGAGCTGATGAACCAGGATAACCTGCTGGAGGGTATCCCTGTGGAGGATATCCGGATGGAGGATGTCCCTGTTGAGGATACCCGGATGGAGGATGTCCCTGTTGAGGATACCCGGATGGTGGATATCCCTGTGGAGGATAGCCTTGAGGGGGGTAGGCCCCAGGTGCTGGAGGGTAGGCTCCAGGTAGATGGTGACCAAGATTAGAGAAAAGCCCTTTGTCAGATTCATCGTTCTTGTCTTTTCCACCTCCCATTTTCCTCTAAGTCAAATTAGTATTATCTGAAAGTTAAACTATGATCTTGTAAGATGACACATGATTGGACAACATAGCCACATTGAAGCACAAAACAAAATAGATGCATTATGAGGATTTTTAATACTTTCTGGTTAAACAAGGTTAAACACGACCAACATTAGCAATAAAAAAAGAGTCATTGCTGGTCCATTTTGTTGAACCTACCTTGCATTATCATGCAGGTAGATATTTAAAATTTGTGCAAGTATGCAGGTTGGTTAGAATTTGTTGAATCAACCTTACAAAATATACAAATAGATAACATCTGCACACACATGCAGGCTAAGATCAGTATTAGTCAGCCAAGCTAACTTCAGATACGAAAACCTAAGTATTGTAATATACATAAAAATGCTTTTATTTTGACCACCACAAGGAAGAAAAGGAAAAATATCAAGATCTTACACTGTATGCCCAAAGGATAAGAAACTGATTTATAAAAGAGAATTTCTAGATGACACGATGTATTAAAAAGTGATAATACAGGAAAAATAATCACTCGTGATTTCATTTGGAGCACAAAATTAACCCAACAGCCAGACCTGCTGAATGATTTGACAAGAAAATTATCGCTGAAAAATACATTAGAAAAAGGAAAGTAGTTCATTACGTTTCTTTCTCACAAAATGAGAAGATATTTTAACCAAAAAGTCAACCAGTATGGCGTCAGTAAAGAAGAAAACGCATTTTGCATAAAAGAACTTGGAAAGAATTTAAATCAGATCTCTATTAAAAGAACTTAATCAGATGCAATAGACATAAATTCAAATTAAATTACAAGAACGCCTAAAATTCCACCAAACCCAAATTAACACGATTATCAATTCCAATATTTCTTTTGTAATATAGAATGAATACACGCACACGCATCTTTATATGTAACTCAACCCATTTTTCAGAATCAAGATTAATAATCCGTGTTTTTATAGAAAAATATCGAGAATTCTATCAACAAATATACAGATCGTTCTCAGAAACAAATCCATGACACTCAAATAGTTACAATAACCAGATCCAATAATGATGCATGTAAACGATTAGCAAAAGTACCAAAACGAAAAGGGTCAATAGAAAATTACTTCGTCCGCGCGTGTCTGCGTCTTTGTGAGAGAGAGAGAGTCACCTTGATGAGTTCTCCAAGTAAAGTGGTTCAGTGCAAGAAAATGGCGGAAGACTGGATATGCATGAATTTGCTTGATAAATAAATTAAAGTAATATATTCATATATTTCACGCGTTACGTAGACGCGTATAGGACGTGGTGGGCGCTCGATGAGGTGGGACAGTTTGAAGATCAATGTTGTTTTAGCACTACAACATGAAATTAGATGACACTATGGTCAAAAGATAGAAATAAATTAACCTATCAATTAATGTTATCTAAAATATAAGTCATAACATTAATGATTTTAAATAGAAATAAAATTCAAAAATAAAATATATATTATCAATTGTAAATTATAAACTTTATTATAGATAAGTTTCCATCATTAACCTAAATAATATTATCAATTAAGAGCGTAATTTGGTGCAATCATATCATCTAACTGTATTTTGCTTACAGATTCAATCTTTCATATTCAATTTGGTGCAATCAAATTACGTAAATTCGATTTCCTTGCAAATCTGGTCATTATCTAAATTTCTCATTTAATATAGCTAATGTTATATGTTGATATTAAAATCAAAGTTCTAAAAAACATAAAACGTAGTTATATGTGGAGGTCAAACTTCAAGTTTTACGAGTCTGGACGAGTCTTGAGCGTAAAAAATGTTTTCTTATTAAAATAATATATACCAAACATATAAAATTATAAATTATTATATTTACTTAATAATTTCCACAATAAATCAATTACACAATTTTCAAGTTTTCAAAATGCAAAAATTAAACCCTTTTTCATAGTTTCAACTTTCATCTAAAATTTTTTTAACGTATTTTGAATTTTGACTTCTGTACAAATAAAATAATTTAAAAACTTGAAATTAAAGTTAGATAAAAAGCTTTAAAAAAAATGAAAAAATTAATAAAGTGCCACTAAGCGCTCATTGTCAAGACGCGACGTTTCTTTCGAGCCTCGTGCCTAAGCGACGCCGCTTGGACATATTTTTAGAACACTGATTAAAATTAATATATAACTACCGTATATATTCACGCTACACAAAAACCTATCATAAAATATTTTCTTAAAAAATCATATAAAATAAAAGCACATTTTTTTACTTGTCTGCTATTCATCAATTTGAATGTCAATGTCATCGTATTTCGCTAGTTAAAAGTAATGGAAAAAGTGAGTAGCTGCAACAAAATGAAAGTTGGGTGAGTTGATTGCACCAAATTAAAGATGAATGACTAGATCGATAAGTAAATCGAAGTTTTGTGATCTAATTGCACAAATATAAAGATGAATGACCTAGATACACTTTTGTTCAAAGTTCGGTGACCGAAGTGCATTTAGCCCGTTAATTCACTGATCTTCTGAACTTGAGTTGTAACATTCATCTCAGATCCAAAGATCAATCCATTCCGCCATTTCTATCAAACTCAACACGAAATCCATTCACCTTCGAATAGGGAAAGATTCTACACTTACATGTATACGTAACTCTACGTCATCTCTGTAATCGGATAGAGAGAGATGGGGACATCCACGGCACTGGCGCCGGGCTTATCACGGAAGCTGAAGAAGGTGTTGGAGACGCGTACGGACAACGCCGATCTACTCGCCTCCCTCAATACCCTTTCCAGTTTCTATACTGACAATACCCCTCAGTCCCGCCGTAATCTCCGATCTACCGTTGAAAAGCGCGCACTGTCTATCAACGAAGAGTTCCTCCTCGCCTCCGCTACCGCCCAACAGGTAAATTTCGTAGTAATTCAACCGATTGAGATCAAGGGGTACAGTCATTGATGCACAATGCACTATTTTCGGTGCTTCGTGCTTTGATCTGGTACTACCATTACACGGCTTTTTGATAAAATGTATTGTGTTTCACTATCTTGATAAAATGCATATGCTGTTTTACTGTCGTGCTTGTGTTGAGTGTATGTTGGTCTGTTTTCTTGATAAATTGTAACATATTGTTTGTCAACATTCCCATTGTTAATAACACTGATTAATGCACAAAAATAAGTTCTTTGATGTTTTCACAAACTTGAATTAACTCGGACACACATTCTGTTAAATGCACGGGCAAATAGGCAAGACTCTACGTTTGAAGTAAAAGTCCTGGCTTTATGCAAGGCTGGGTACTTGAAAAATTGGCAGTCTAGTAATTATGGAGGCAGAAACGCGAACAGGGAAAGGGGGACTTTTTGATGAGGGAAAGGAACAATCAAGCAGAGGTAGTTATAAATTTTGAATTGTTTACTCAAGTTCAAATGGCATTCAGCGGGGAAGTCTTCTGCTAGATTGGCAGTAAAGGATTTTAAGTAATTTAATTTCTACTCAGCTTGGCTCATTTACCACCTATTGAGTCATTCTCTATGTACACGAAGGATAAATGCTAGCCGATAGAAATGACACATAGTCTTTTTATAAAGGACCACGTTAGTCAAGTCTAAGATGTGGTAAAAATGTGAATTTCAATATGCTGGAAGGGGGGAGGACTTGCAAAGATTAAAGGTGAAAACTCTTCATTGTGACTTTTCATTTGTCTAGTGTTCTAATTTCATGTCCTCCTCATTTTCACATAACTTCTGGGTGTCGTGATTATCCAGGTCCTTTTCACTACCTTACTTGGTATGTGTACCAGCTAGCATCTTGGATTCCTGTTTTGCATGTTATAATACCAGTAGTTGTTAATCTCCTACACGGATCCGAATATACCATTTGTAATTTATGTATTCAAGAAGTATAATATATCATGAAGTACATTGTAATAATAAATGTTCAATGCGTGGTAATAACAGTAGGAAAAGTAATAATAAAATGAATATTTCAATTAAAAAATATGTGATGCGAAATAACCATAGAAAAAGGAATAAGCATATTAATAAATGCAAAAGCATGAGAAAAATAAAAATTACACTGAACTGCTACTTGCAGGTATGAATTGGAATAATCTATAGGGTATAACACATAAATAAATACAAAATGACTTATTATTTATCAGAACTGAAATATTAAGAAAAAGCTACATTCTCTATGAGAAAATTAAAACCTAAAAATCTAATCTTTATTTCATCCAGCATTGAGATTTGAGATTGTCTATCATCATTCATTATCACACAGTATCAACAGGTGCAACTAAGGCGGACTTACATTTAACCTGGGATGTTATTCTAATATGAAGGTAGTGATGTTAGATAAACCAACTTGTGCTACTGGTAAGGTTTGGGATTTGAACAAAACACTATTTACTGTGCAGTCTAAAATGCCTCGACCAGATGTTATATACTTTTACTGCATGTTCCTATCGATGTACCTTCATCTAGCATTGTTATTTTTGGGATTATGAGAAAGTTGATCATGCTATGGAATCGTAGAAGTGTAACTTTTGAATTATGATCTACTGATGTATTCTGCGTGAAGTGTGTCAGTGTGTGTACTTTGCTTATCATATCAGGAATTTTTTATTCTTGGATTGTGATTTTTCACGTGGAACACTTTCTATACTTTTTATCTTGTTGAAACCAGAAAATAACAAGGTGTGTACTTGATTGGTTTTTTAGGCCTTGGATCAGGTTGAGGCTGAGGTTAATGCGTTGGCTGAGTGTTGCGATAAGTACGTCTATTCCCTTCTTTGTCCTTCAAATACGTTTCATTTTAGAGAAATGATTTGACAGATGAATTGCTGGATGAACTGATGGACTCTTTTTAGTTTGATAACTGTCGTGTTAACCATTATAACAGTTTTTTTAGTATCTTATACTCGACAGCTTGCAAATGTTATGGCATCATTGACCTTTTTTTCTTCTGTTGTTTTGGATGGTAAGGAGGGACAGAGACTTTTGATGAACTGGTTTTCGAGCTCTTCTTCTTGTCTTCTGAACTTCCTTACAAATTCCCATTCATGTCCAGTTGATTCAAACACACTTCATTCTTTTCCAAACTTTGTCTCTCAAGGTCTTGAACCCCTTTATAATTGTCCAATTAATTCCAAATAATTACGACCTTACTCATTTATTGTCCTATAAACCTATTATTATGACACAAGCATGTGATGTTTATCAAACCAGAGCTAGTGTGTATGCTAGACTAATTCATTAAAGTGTATAATCTAAGTCTGTATGTTTTATGGTATGGAGTGGTGCACATGAAATCAGCTGATTTTCCGAAATCCTCTCTTTTGTGAAATTGTTTCACTTGCGTTATTCATAGATTGCATCATGACTTGCTACATTCTCCTCCTATCAGAGATATGAAGTTTATTTATTTTTTGTCTCATCATTAGCACTTGTTGAAGGTACTTGAGTTTAAAAGTGACCATGCAGTGATCTCATTTCACACGTGCTTATATTTGAGAGAGAGAATTTCGATAAAAACGACATTCGGAAACTGAAAAAAAGATGTAGTAAATCCACATTTCAAAACTTTAAAATTGCACTTTGGTAGATCCATAAAAAAATGCTTAGAAAACCATGTTTAAATTTATGCTTGAACTCTGCAGAATTGCAAAGGCTTTGAACAATTGTAATGCCACCACCGGTGATATTATCAGTACAACTGAACGACTCAAACAGGAACTTGAAAATACTACGCAGAGACAAGAGATTGTATCATGCTTTCTTCGAGACTATCAACTCTCCAACGATGAGGTTTCTATAACATAGTTCTTGTTCTGTCCATGACCATTGAATTTCTCAATCATGCATATTCTTATTGATGAATGCTTTTGGCTGCCCGTTTTGCTAGATAAGTGCCCTAAGGGAGGAAGACCTGAACGAAAATTTTTTCAAGGCACTTGCTCATGTTCAGGAAATCCACGCCAACTGTAAAGTACTGTTGAGGACACATCACCAGGTCTCTCTCTCTCTCTCACATCCATCCACCTACACCACCCTCCTCCCCAACCCAAAAAAGAACAAAATAAAAATCCTTGTATATTGCATGTCCAGATTGCGCCCCCCCCCCCNCCCCCCCCCCCCCCCCCACCCAAAAAAAAAAAAAAAAAAAAAAAAAAAAAAAAAGGAACATAATTGAAGAAGAAAAGAAAACAAAGATGCATAATTTGAACTAGTTTGAATTCTCGTTGATTGCTGGGCAAGTGGGGGATTATGAACACTAGACTCCAATATGCAATTGATGAAGAGGTTTGGAGCTGGATGTGGTTTTTTCCAATATGGTATTTTACTTGAGGCAGAACTTGAAGAAACAGATAGCTTCTTCTGCTGTATATTCTTCTCACCATTCCATGACTTGTACTGCAGATGAATATTATATTTGTTGTCACTTCAAGGGTGTGCATAATGCCAGGAAATTTGTTTATGTGACTGCTTTTTTGATCAACAATTCATCATTTCGTCTTCAACCTTTTGAGTTGCCCTTCCTTTTTGGGAGGGAGATAGGCGGATGGATCTGATAGTTTGGTGGTTAGGGACAGTGCTAATTTTGGGATTAAATAATTTCATCACTTGTGTCTTGTGAGTTTATAATGTTTGGGAAGTGGGGCAGCACAGGTTGTGGGGTAGTAATTATGACCTGAGGAAAGATGTTTGCTTTTTGGGGTCGGGAAAATGGCGCTATTGTCAGGAGTGAGCACGGAGCTGGTAATGTTGATGTTGGTTGGTAGAATGCGACTTTCTATTTTGGATATGACTGCGGTTGAAAAAATGGGCTGCTGAGAAAAGAAACTACTAGTAAGATAGTGGATTGGGAAGTGGTGATTTGAATTGCAGATGTTTGTGGGAGATGTTTTCTTTTATTTTTTATTGGCTGTATTGATTGTTTATTTAAAGCTAGTTTGGGGAAGATGAGCAAATAACATTCCAAATTCAGTTAAAGTCCACCTCAAAAAGCAAATAAAATCATTCAAATGTATATGGAGAGGATATGATTTGATGGGCAGAAGTTTCTACAATAACAAGCATATTTATAATGATTAATTCTTTCACTTAGAGTCTTTTGTTATCCTTGAAGCAATAACTATCATTTCTACGCGACTTATTACTAGAAAACCACATATGATGATGACAATGCTTTCGTACTAATAAGTCGATCATTCCAGCTCTATTTCAATCGATGGTCCTATATTCAAGGGGTTTCAACAGGTGGTATTTTGATTGGTTTGGTTGCAAGTGTGACGATTCATTGGTAGATTATTCATGAACTCTAGTATTTGCATACTTTAAATAGTTTTAATATGATTAATAAAATGTAAGGGCCTTCTATCTATGACATTTCTGCAACCTGGTCTCTAGCTTACTTCATATAGTTCTAGAATCCAGAGGTGTGTTATGTTGAAATGTGTACTCGGTTCGTTTCCCAACTCTTTGCTGTGTCAAACATTTACTAATATACCTAGTCTGATCACAGATCAACACAAGTATTGGATTATTGTTCCCTACACCACTCCTTGGCTCTGTTCACAAGCCCCCAAGTGGTTATGCCTTCTCTTTTAAGAGCAAGCTAAACCTTTCAATTAGTTAAGAATTTCCAGTGATGATATTTTTTTTAAAATTTGGTCAGCAAATCATTTAGTTTAGATCATGTAGGTATCTATCACTTTAATGGCCTGCTCCCATCCTATGTTTCATTCTATTGTAAGCCATCATTAATTGACTTCTGGTAGTCATAATTACTTGCAAAACCTCTAATCCTGTGCCTTGTGTTTCTCTTTTAGCTGGTGGTTTTTTCCTTTGTGTAGTTCTTTTTATTCTTCATTTTTAATTCTGAATCTATCAGTATCTGTATTCACTTAAGAATGTCTGCAGCGTGCTGGTTTGGAGCTTATGGATATGATGGCTGTTTACCAAGAAGGAGCTTATGAGCGTCTATGCAGGTAAAATTTCTCTAATTTCTTGCAGTACAAGTTCACTGGAAGAATGAAAAAGCCTTTCTATATGCTTGCACACGCCTAATTGCAATGTGAACTTCCATTATCATTGGTAAAATATTAAACTTATGCGAAACGGAAGAAAAAATTTCAAGAGAAGGGGAAGAAAAAATCTCACTAGTGGATGATTTTCACCAGTTTTATGAATCTTGATTTAAAAATCACAAGAACCCTTTGTTTAGAAAGTTAAAAATTAAAATGGTTTCCGCGCTACAATCTCAGAGTCTGAAATGTCGGGTTTTTGGATTTCTTTGAGCTCCTATTGAGGACAATAAACCCATGGCATCCATGTATGGCATCTGCAGCTTATTTTTTTGAGTGCATTATGTCATTTGGTTTATGTTTAGACGCCGTACAACCATTATTAACAGTAGACACTTTCATCTTTTTTCGTGGTATTATGAAATATAGGCCATTCTATTTACTTATAGCAGACATTTTACTCTCTGTTGTTATTTGAAGTTATATACCATTGCACTCATAAGTGGCCTTGCTCAAACCTAATTAACTGTTTTTTTTTTCCCAGATGGGTTCAAATAGAGTGTAGAAGACTTGGGGATGTTGATAATCCTGAAGTTGGTGAGCTCCTCAAAACAGCTGTCCGATGCCTCAAAGAAAGACCTGTACTTTTCAAGTATAGTGCTGAAGAGGTATTTTGTGCAAGAGCTAAAAGTTGAAGAATTCATTGAACTCAATTTTCCAACATTTTGTTTTCACATGTAATTTTCCTGGGCTTCAGGTAGCCAATATGAGGCATAATGCGTTGTTCAGAAGATTTACTAGTTGAATATATTGAATTCAATTTTCCAACAATTTGTTTTCACGTGTAATTTTCCTGGGCTTCAGGTAGCCAATATGAGGCACAATGCGTTGTTCAGAAGATTTATTAGTGCCCTCACACGTGGAGGACCAGGTGGACTACCCAGGCCGATTGAAGTTCATGCTCATGATCCTTTAAGATATGTTGGTGACATGCTGGGATGGCTGCATCAGGTAGTGCATTGTGGGGTTCTATTGTCTCGCTTTTGCAATCACAATTATTATACACTGACTGTCATAATTTTCTGTCATTGTTTTATGTTAGTTCACATTATCCATGTTTTCGGCTACCTGACAGGCTTTGGCATCTGAAAAGGAATTTGTTGTTGCACTGCTAAATCCTGATGCAGTGGCAGATACTGGAAGAAATGCTGACCAATCATCTAAAATCGGGGAGAGTGATGTAGCAAAGACAGAATCAGATTTGACGTTCGTTCTAGACAGGATCTTTGAAGGAGTTTGTCGGCCATTTAAAGTGAGAGTGGAGCAAGTTTTGCAGTCTCAGCCTAATCTTATTATTTCTTACAAACTTAGTAATACGCTGGAATTTTACTGCTACACTGTGAGTTTACTACTGACATCAGTTTGTTATTTTCTCGTTTATCAAAGTCTTCTCTATTTGTCTCATCTGTTCATCTTTTTTCAGGTGTCAGATTTGCTAGGAAGAGAAACAGCTCTCTGTAACACAATTTGGGCCCTCAAGGATGCTACTCAGAAAACCTTTTTTGACATGCTGAAAACCCGAGGAGAGAAGCTTTTACGATATCCTCCCCTTGTTGCCATTGATCTTTCTCCTCCACCAGCAGTAAGAGAAGGGGTCTCATTGCTGCTTGAAATAATTGAAACATACGACAGAATGATGGTTCCTGCATCAGGCAAGAAACCTGCCTTTGAGCTAGTCATATCTGCTTTGCTAGATCCTATTATTCAGGTATTCTTTCCTCTGAGCAATTAATGAGATTTATCATTATTGATGAACACTGTCATAGAAGCTGAATTACCAACGACATGTTTCTGCAATTTTTCATATGGTGTTATTTCAACTTTAATTAGACCACAGTAGTTATCAGCATGACCTTGCTTTCTGATGTAGACAAGATTTGATATCCCACAATGTCTGAGTCCAGATTTATTAGAGGAAAAAGCTGCAAAACCAAAACCTTGAAATTGGAAACAATAGATGTAATAAAATCTGATAATTTACTTGAAATAGAGTTCTGCCCCTCTTCCCTGTTACAAAGACTATTTTAAACAGAAAGACTTCCGGGCAATTGAAATGACATAATTCCTAGAATACACTAAGTGCATATTAATTTTAATCTGGGGAAATAAAGAGCCTTTCTTGACTCTATACACCGTTTCAAAACTTAATTAAAGTTTAACCAAGACTTGCATAAAATTAAACAGCGACTAATGGACTTCTTTGACTCTTTTATTAATATGTGTACACATTAATTGCTCCACTCCTTTTGATCTTATATCTCGTTTCACCTTCCTGGAATACATTCTTTAGTCGTAATAGGATTTACTTAGATCTCATGACAATTGTTTTCTAAATTTAAAGTTTAACAGCATGATCAATAGCCGTGACACTGTACATATACTTAGTTTCTAAAGCATTCTGTTGACTTACAGATAGCAATGCTGGATAACTGTGCCGTGGATTATAAAACCAATACTCTTTCTTTTTGAGATGTAAATTCCAATCCACTTGCCATTATATGATACTGTAACCCTGTGAACAATACTCTAGAAGTATGATAACCTCTGTTTGTGGTAGAGTGGCATAACTGAAGGTGGCTGATAGACCCCCAATTCGGTTCACCTACACAAGAAGGGGGAAAAAGAATGACACGTGCAACATGGAGGGCTGCCAAGACATTTAGGGGGTGTTTGTTTTTGATTTGAGAATTGATTCTCAAATCAATTCTCATTTTCAACCACACATTCTTCAATAAAATAATATTTTCCATCACATCAATAATTTTTTCTTCTTTTTCAACCACACATTTCCCATCATATCACTATTCAAAAATCACTTCTTCNCCCATTTAATATTAAGAGGTTGTTTGTTTGAGATTCTCAAATTCTACAGTAAATCAATTCTCATTTTCAACCACACATTTTTCAATAAAATAATATTTTCCATCACATCAATAATTTTTTTCTTTTTCAACCACACATTTCCCATCATATCACTATTCAAAAATCAATTCTTCCCTTAAAAATCCCTACCAAACAAGCACTTAATCAGTAGCTAAGGGTAAAAGAGTAATATGTTGTAACAAGAAAATTCCAATAAATGTGAGGAAATAGGGAATGTTTAGCATTATTCGTTTCCACTGGGAATTAGTTAGAGGGGAGAGACCAGGCCTCTCCAATAGCCCGGAATTCTGTTGCATTTCAGTGTATGTTATCAATACAATCCCACATTTTCTGCTATTCCTTCTATTATCCTTCATCTGTTCTACAGATTATATTGAGAAGGGTGGACTGGATTCTATCTGTGGGTTCTTGTCATTCCAAAGCATTGATAACGTTGGTTTAGGGAGGGAAATCGGAGGTTACACGTGAGAATTGCCTTAATCCTCTTTTGCTTGCCCTTTATGGAACCGTATCCCAGCACTCATACATGTCCTAATAGGAGTACCACTCATGTAAACCACCCATCTTTTACTGAAGCCTCCTTTTATTTTTTCTTCCTCGAGGATGATTATCCATGCATCTTTGTTGTGCCTTGATGAATTGAAGCTCTTCTTACCTGTTTTGAAGCTCTACAAGCTCTCAGAACTAATGAAGATAAAAGTGACGAGTCAAACTAATAAGGTTTTATAATTATTAAAGTTTTTTGAACCTGGGCTGCTGGCTTGCTAATCATTCACTGCCGTATTAGGACTCCGGCTTCGTGCATTCATATATCTACTTCAGCTGTATTCCTTACTAATCGAAATTCATTTGTTTTGTTCCCTTCTCTATTCATTTTAGCCTGTTATGTTCAATATCTGTAGATATGCGAGCAAGCAGCAGAGACATACAGGTCCAAGGGAGTTATACAGTCGTCAAGAAGAAGTAGATTAAGTTCTGACACAAGTCAAGTCCGTAAATCATCTGTAGATGCTATTTTAGAAAATAGCACTTCTGCTCCTTCATCTCAGGTATGCATTTTCTTGCTTTTCCTCTCCAATCACCATGCTTCATATATTATGCCTCCATTTGGCAAATTTATAAATGGTTTATAAAGAGGAATAGTAAGAGAGGAGTGTATTGACGTGTGGATAATATTTAGTAGCTATGAATGTGTGTGGTTAAATTTAATGTTTAACTTTGATTGTATATATAAATCATTTATAAATTTTGTATCTAATCAGAGGCTAAATTGTGATATTGGAAAGTAGCTGTTTTGTTTTCATATTGTTTGCTATTCTCGACAGATATACAGTATACCATATTTCCACACAGTTACGATATCGCACATCTTCCAGTGGCCTAGTTGTCTAGTTATTGATGCATTTTTATGCATTTCACAGTTGTAAGAAAATTACAATGTGATCTAATTGCCCTGAAAATTTTCTTATATATATTTGGATGACCATCTAAACTCAACTAAGCTCTGTTTGGTTTAGGTAAAAAAGTTGATAAAATCTAAGTCAAAGTCGGCTATTAATTTTAACCACACATTTCATGGGATCCATAACTTTTATCAACTTTTTAACCACACATTTTATTTTTATCAACTTTAATTAAAATATACTGAAAATCTGATTTTTACCTAAACAAAACAGGGGCTAATTCTTTTTTCGTACTACTAATTTGGCCGTGTCTGGCAATCGCATGAAAAGTCATATTTAATCAACTCCCTTCATGTGTATAAAGTTCTTTCACTATAATGTATAGCGATAAATATCTTTAGCTCAAAGTATTCCTATTTCTGGACAACTGAGAACTATCACCTCTGGCCCAGTCTCACCCTAACTCGCCGTGATCTCCAAATGTTTCTCATGTACACAAATAAGTATGTTCATATGCTAGGAAAGTTTAGGGCAGGAAAGTTATATTAGGAACAAGCACTATGGAATAGAACGCCACATTGTAAGTATCTTAAAAATCACTCTTCGCCCGAACAAAACACTCACAAACACAGACAAAAACTTGTAATTCACTTCTGGTATTCTGTTGCATTAGTAATATTATTGATTTTGGAGAAATAGCAATTTGTAATCATTGTTTGAAGTCTATCTTGTGCTGTTAATAGCAAGGTATTTGAAATAGCTCGGTTCCAGTAACATGAAGTAGTAAATAGCTTTAACTTGTTAAGATTAAACCATTGATTGTCCAAAACTATGGAGGTTATTGTCCATAATGGATCCAGTGTTAGGTCCTATACACCATTGCTGTTGGTGGATCAGCAGCTAGCATTACATATTCCCAAAAACATTTTGGGTTTAGCAAAACTCTCGTGATACTAAGGCGGGGATCAAGTGCCTGCTTGCCCAAAACTCGAGTGACAGTACATTCTATTGTGTTGTTGAGATCTGTTAGCTTTATATCCTTATATTTATGGCTTTCTAGTGGTAAAAAAATTGGTCCTCTAGTCAAATCATACTAGGATTTGTGTGAAAATAGAAGTTTCTTTATGCAAATGGATAATCTCGTTGTTCATATATGATTATTAATTTTCCCAGTGGTTTGAATCAAATTGTGATATACCCGCTGCTGCTTTTTAATAGTCATGACTTTCGGTTATTGTTATCAGGTTCCACCATCCTTATTGTTATCAGGTTCCACCATCCCCTGACCTTTCGTGTTTAATGCAGACCACTGAAACCCCTTCTAAGATTTTTCTCATCAACTGCTTATGTGCCATCCGACAACCATTGTTGGGACTTGAGGTTGCATCTGAATATGTGAAAAAGCTAGGAGTAATGATAGACAGTCACATGCATGGTCTTGTCGAAAAAGAAGTCGATGCCATTTTGCGAAGGTGTGGCTTGTCAAGCAAGATGCCCCACTTCCGTAATTCACCAGACAATGATGTATCAGGCAAAGATGTTGCTGGGCCCGCATTGGCAGACACAGAAGATATGTCTCCTGCTGCTCTTTCAGAATGTTTAAAGGCCTTTTTTGGGCTCATTTTGGGAAGTGAAAGTACCCTGCCCGAGTTTGAGCAAATGCAGGTCCCTAGTCTTCGGTCAGAAGCTTGTGTTCAGGTTGCTAGATCACTGGCTGATGCATATGAGCTTATTTACAAGGCAATCATGGATCCCAGGAATTGCTATCCCGATCCCAAGTCACTGGCAAGACATCCTCCTGATCAGATAAGAACCATTTTGGGAATTTGAATATTTCTTTTTGTTACTCTAAAAGGATGAAAAGCCGGAGGGACTTTAATTTGACCATCCATTCAGCTGGGTTGGAGTCTGTTCGACAGCCCTAGGACTTTAAGCAGCATGTTGGTGACTTCAACATCATTGATGAACGCGTCTCTTGTTTTCTTCTTCTCTGATACCTGTAATTAAAGCTGTTTTCTTTCATCAGGAACATATTTGTATTAATTTTTGGGTCTAGTTGGATGTGGCATGTTACAGATTGTTTCTCGTCATTCAGAGAACATAACAAACTCTGTGTTTTAGATATTGAGTTGATAATATACTCGCGCTTGGGTGGCGACGGCATTGCTGAGTTTTTTTTCTCTATCCTAAGAACTCCTTCGAGTAGATTTGATGTTGTGGAAATTACACACAAGCCTACTTTTCAAGATCCATATTCAAAAATCAGATGGAAGGTTTCATTGTTCAAAAA